ATATATAAACAAAATCGATATTTGGCAGAGGCTCAAATATCAATTTTTCATGCGATTTTTGGTTCCATGATGAGAGCCCGCGCCATGTGCCTAAAAATTTCAGAGCTCCCATGCCACGGTGGGAATGAACCTTTGACCTGAGGGAACTTGCAGTGATCCCGCCACCAACTGACCAGGGCTTGCGGCAGAATATATATATATATTTCACACTTTTGCAGCCATTGATGAATTTCACACTACCTTCTTTATCTTTTCTAGGACTTGAAATCGGATCCAAAGAATCATTTCCTCTTGGCGTTAAGGGCCATAACAAAATGCATCACTAGTCCGGAGAAATATTTCGAAAAGGCGATTAGGCTTGCTATAAGCAAAATTGGAACCGATGAGGAAGCCGTTACTCGTGTCATATCCACCCGTGCTGAAATTGATTTGAAAGTCATTAAGGATCTCTACTACAAGAGAAATAGCGTGCCGTTGGCCCGCGCCATCAAGAAGGATACTAGAGGAGACTATGAAGACTTCCTTATTGCCCTGATTGGCGAGGAGAATGCTTGAGCTTTCTATGGTGTTGTTATGTAGTTGTTGTGTTGGAATGAAGGTTCTTGAGAGTATGGAAGCGAGTGCTTTATGAGAAAGCTGTGTTTGCTTTTGTTGGGTGTATGCGAGAATAAAGCTTTAGTGCGGCTGTGTTGTTCTGTGTTTTTATTTCCTCCTTTATGTTTGATATTATGTTGTGTCGGATTATGATATCTTATGAAAGAGGACTGGACTTTGGTTTGTGGTAAACCTATGGTGTGGATTACAACTAGGTTGGTCTTTAACATAGCCGTAAGTAATGGCTTGAGAAGATTAGCAATTCCATTTCTCTTCATAGTTTCTTCTCCAAGGCATTATTGCCGAGATGAAAAATGTCTTCTCTGAATATTTTGAAACAAGTTTCATATAAATTTATGTAAATCATTAATTTCAAAATAATTTTAATTATTTTAAAGTTTTATATGATTAAAATTATACCAAGGTATTCAGACATGTTTATTTTCAATATGAATTATGCGCGAGAGCAATTTGTTGAAACAGGATATGGTGCACAATTTCATCAACATGTGGCACGCAATTCTTATGTATTTACATCTCTCACCTAGTTTTTCATATTTACATATATAACATTCAAATCTTTAAAATCTCGTCATATATAGAACTTACACTTTTTAAAAGTGAAATACACAATTTTTTCATTCATAGGTTTAAAATACGAAAGTACTCAGTAGATATGACATTTTTTTGTGTGATATGTAAATGCATAGGTTTAAAATACGAAAGTACTCAGTAGATATGATATTTTTTTGTGTGATATGTAAATGCGTAAGATTTGAGTGTTATATATATGTAATTTTTCCAATATAGAATGTGGGAGGGGAAGGATATACATTAGGGGTGTAAGTGAGGCAAGCTGACTCATGAAGAGGCTTGGGCACACCTCAATAAGTGGTTCGTGTTAAGTTTGATATGTTGGCAAGTCAAGTTCAAACTAACCACGTCTCAACTCCTTAGCTCATGAGAATTTTAGTGATGTTTTTTAAAGTTTCTAAGCCTAATCTTTACAAAAAAATAAAATATATAAATACTTTTGAGCTTGAAAAGTGATAAAAAAAAATCTCTCCTAAATTGGGCATATGCAAATAAGATCTTTCTAAATAAATTTGGCACAGTTGAACATTAAATAATAGTTTTTCTTAGCCCCTCCGAGTGGTCATAAGAAAATTAAGGCTTCATATTACTATTAGTCCCCTAGCCATACAAAAAACTTGGTGTTTTACACGATTGCATGATCTTAATAGAAGTAATCATATTCTCCTAGAGTTGTGTAGGTTAACCAAACTATTATATTGACCTACTTTTGTAGTACTAGATCATAATATTGATCAGTTTATGAGTAAGTTACATGTAGAAGGTTAAAATATCAACTTAAAATTAAATTGCTCATAATCGCATAACATAAACTTCACTAATTTGCACATAATCTAATTTCAAAGGAGATAAAATTTAATTCCTACTCATTATGGATGAAAACAACTAAAATTTTATTGCAAAAATAAAAAGCAAAATTAGAAATGATCTTATCGATGTTCTTCACTAAATTACTTGAAATTACAACATAATCTATGAGTTTTCACCCATTGTGAGTATAAAAATTATAGCACACCCTTGTTCTCTCTTAAGAAAACTCTCACACGCTTCCATGGATCCTTTCAGCTAAGTGTGGTTGAAGTTTGCAATAATTCTCCATTTACTCAATCCAGTTTCTATTTTCTTTCACTTTTTGTCACTCCTAGGGTCAAGCATTGAAAATTTGTGAAGCACAGAGTCGTCTATAGTTCGTATTGGTTTCTCCTATAGCCATGGATCATCATGCAATCCCACCACATCAACTAAGACCATCATAACTCCCAGATTTGACTTGTCGGTTCCAGAGTTCTTCCATGGACCCTCAAAGTCTCCCTCGATCAGTGTTTGCATTGTAATTCTCCTAAAGGTGGCACCTTAGCACCACAAAAGGTGGCATTCTGGTGTGGCACCTTAGCGCCACTAAAAGTGGCATCTGAGTTCCTACCTCTCTTTTTAGTACGCTTGGGATAGAGAGAGAAAAAATAGATGTGGTTAACTACACCACTATTAGTGTAACTTTGCCAATAGTTATGCTAACAGTGGCGTACATATGCCAAAATTTTGGATCGTTACCAAAATCCCCATTTACTTCTTCCACTTTTGGATCTTTCAATGCATGATCTTTGACATCTCCAATTGCAGTACAGTTTAATCATACTTTTGACAAAACAGGGAGAACAAGAGTGTATGAAGGAGAGTTACATGGAGCTCTCCATGAATACGCCTCCTACATATCACAAATCATAGGAGCTCGTGATTGCAAGAGTTTAGATATCACAAAATCAACTTTAAGGCACAATATTGACTAAGTTGGATCAAATCTGGCTTTCATAAAGAAATTTTCACAGGATTGAACCATGATACTGACAATTGCGAGATTATAAAGTTCCAAAATTCCAAATCCCATGATCATGAGTTACAATTCTTGCTCAGAATACATCTCATTCTGAATTCCATCTTGATTTTTTTTCTTTTTTGAGTTTTCATTTTTTGTTATTTCTAAATAAATTTATTTCTTCATAGGAGACTAGTTATGTGTTTTCTTCTATTCTATGGGACTTTTGATGATTTTTATTATTTTGGGAGCTATTATTTATTTTTTTTCTCTTCGTTGCGTTTGTAACTATTTTTATGCATATGGTATGTTTGTATCTTACTTATGAGTAGGAGGTATAACCTTCTCAACCTTTGTACCTCATCATTTTGGAGTATCTTTGTTATTTGCAGTAGGAAAGCCATCAAATAATGCTTACAACCATCCAAATGTCATCAAACTCAGTTATTATCTTCTTCTTTTCATTTCGCAACCACCTCCCTCTAAACCCACTTCTTGAATATCATCTAGAAGCCATAGAACGATATCATCTAATTTTAAAGACTGGAAAGCCCTAGATCTTAGGGATATTTTTTTCATTTCCCCAAACCAAAAATCCAAATAACCTAACATGACACCCTCACTAAAATAAATTCCCCCAAATCATTCTTATCATAATTTCTTGCAATAACCCTAAATTTTTTTTTTAAATCCAACTTTCCTACCTCAACAAAACTTTCACCCCAACACCTACCATTCAAAACTCCAACCCTAAATTACCCTCTTTTTTAGTCAACATTATGATTGGAAAAACAAGACATTATATTGCTAAGGAGAAACCCTCAAAGAGATGTTTAGAAATTACTTTGGTGGATATGTATGGGAAGTCCTCCAACTGTAACAGAAGCTTTCCACCATTGAGTGAGGAAAATTTGGTAAGTTAGCTTATAGAATTAATAGTGATTTGTCAGATCGAGAGGAGGAAGTTAATCCCTTTCATTAACGAAGAACCACTACCTTAATGATTCAGTATTGAATATTAGATGAGATGTTAGGATCTTAGAGTGAAGGTGGGTTTGATGGTCGTATGCATCCATTGAGCTTATCGAGTAGCTTTAAATAATGGAGTAATTTTTTTAGTACAAGGATGTTCCTTATGATAAGTGAGTTAAATTGACAGTCATCGGCCTTAGGAAAAAAAACTACATTGTGGTGGGAGAACCTAAAATATATTCTACAAGGAAAATGAAAGAATAAGATCACTTTGTGATCCAGGATGATAAGAGAGATATATTGCAAGTACCTTCCCCACATTATCAATAGTACATGTTCATTGAAGTCCACAACCTGCTCTAGAAAGACACTTATGTGGAAGAGTACATAACTAACTTTGATAAACTCATACTGGAAAGACACTTCAGTGGAACAAGAGGAGCACACAGTGTCAAGATATCTGGGAGGAGTGAGGTTTTGTATTAGGAATGTGGTGCAGCTATAGTCATATTGATTCTTACTTGATGTACAAGCCCTAGCACTAAATGTGGAGAAATAGCAACATCGCCAAATGATAGCCACACCTTACAAGTGGAGTTTCATCATAAGACTAAAAAATAAAGTATACCCTATGGAGCACTTAAGTTGACTCCACTAAAGCATAAATCTATACAGAGTGGAGAAAAGATAGAGATCACCATTATTCATAAATCTATCCAAGCAAGAAATTGTTTTAAGTGCCACAATTTTAGGCACATTGCACTAGATTCCCCAAATAAGAGAATGATATCTTTTATTGTCCATATGGAGTAGAGGAGGTAACACATAAAGACCTAGAGGAGAAGAATGAAGAGGAATATCAATTTCCAGCAAACGAAATAAGTTGTTAGTGATTCAAGCTGAGCTTATGAGAGAGACTTGAGGTAGGTTACAGTTGGTTGTTTTGGAAGGAAGTGAGTATGAGGAGCCGATACTTGAAAATGGATGGCCCTATTGAAGGACTTGTTAGATATCATGATTAATTGTTTACCTCCTAAGTAGCTCCATTGAGACTGGTTCAATATATCATAGAGTTCATTCCAGAGTTAGTTCCTCTTGACAAAAATATTTATTTAATGCTTCCAAATGAGTACAAGAAGTAGAAAAATCAAGTTACATATTTAATGGAACAAGATTTGGCTCACGAGAACACTCACCCAAATGTAGTTCCAGCTCTAGTTATGCTAAAAAGGATGGAAATTTATTATATCATGGAAGACATTGGAAGGAAGCATGTGTTTCAGATTTCTCTTGGGTGGATGTGAGCATAGACTTTGCAATTGGCTCCCACAGTTAAAGTAGTGCAATGACTTTGTATGGTGGCAGATTGATTCTGAATCATTTGGAGAAGAGGAAAGCCCCTCTTGTATGAGAAGAATGATGCAGATCACTCTATGAATAATCATAGGATCTCACCTTTACAAGAATCTGGTGGTCACAAAATCGACCCTGCGACACTATATTGGCAAATTCGACCAAATATCTTGATAATGAATTTTTTGTGGGATTCAACCTCATTATTGGAAATTACAAGATTCCTAAATTGTAAATCTCACAATCAGGAGTCACGATTCTTGCCCAAAATACATCTTGTTTCTAATTTAATTTTAGCTTAATTTTTTTTTTCTTTTTTTTTTTTGACTTTTTTTCATATTCCATTATGTTTAACTAGGTTTATTTTTGCAAATGAGACTATTTATGTGTTTTCTTTTTTTCTCTTTTGGGGGAATTTTGATGATTATTATTGCTTTGGTTTATGCTCTTCAGAGTGTTG